GTTGTTTGTGCTGTATTTAGACCCCTCTACCAAGACATTTGTTTTGCATGCACACGTATAAAAATTGTGGTTTTTATCCAACGCAATCATAGGTTTGAACGTTGTTTTCAATTTAGACTTGTTTATATTTTTTCGTTTGGGCTTGTATTATATTTGCCTTCGGGTTTATATGATCCGTTCATCCAATTTCGACTCTTTCAAAATTCAAGAGTCTATCCTAAATTGAGGTAAATTATATGGCCTTCCAAATACCGTTTCGATTCCTAACATCACTGAAGAGACATTTAATAATTGTCGAAATCCGGATATGGTGTACAAAAGTTTGCACCCAGTCATCTTTGCGGTATACCATCTTATTCGCAAGTTTATTGTTTTCTGTTTGGTAATAAATTATTATAAGATCCATTTTGTTACATCTGGTGATCCGTTTATTTGGCAATCGCCAATGGCAGTTAGCAGGGTTTAAGAACATCAGTTGTTCGACCTGCTAGTCAAATGCGTTTTGTTAAAATATACTTTTTCACTTATTTGGTCTTTTGGAAAATGTTGTTTGTGCTGTATTTAGACCCCTCTACCAAGAAATTTGTTTTGCATGCACACGTATAAAAATTGTGGTTTTTATCCAACGCAATCATAGGTTTGAACGTTGTTTTCAATTTAGACTTGTTTATATTTGTTCGTTTGGGCTTGTATTATATTTGCCTTCGGGTTTATATGATCCGTTCATCCTATTTCGACTCTTTCAAAATACAAGAGTCTATCCTAAATTGAGGTAAATTATATGGCCTTCCAAATACCGTTTCGATTCCTAACATCACTGAAGAGACATTAATTGTCGAAATCCGGATATGGTGTACAAAAGTTTGCACCCAGTCATCTTTGCGGTATACCATCTTATTCGCAAGTTTATTGTTTTCTGTTTGGTAATAAATTATTATAAGATCCATTTTGTTACATCTGGTGATCCGTTTATTTGGCAATCGCCAATGGCAGTCAGCAGGGTTTAAGAACATCAGTTGTTCGACCTGCTAGTCAAATGCGTTTTGTTAAAATATACTTTTTCACTTTTTTGGTCTTTTGGAATATGTTGTTTGTGCTGTATTTAGACCCCTCTACCAAGAAATTTGTTTTGCATGCACATGTATAAAAATTGCGGTTTTTATCCAATTTTTATACGTGTGCATGCAAAACAAATTTCTTGTTAGGGGGGTCTAAATACAGCACAAACAACATTTTCCAAAAGACCAAAAAAGTGAAAAAGTATATTTTAACAAAACACATTTGACTAACAGGTCGAACAACAAATGTTTTTAAACCCTGCTGCCTGCCATTGGCGATTGCCAAATAAACGGATCACCGATGTAATAAATGGATCTTAATTATAAATTTAATACTAAACAGAAAACAATAAACTTGCGGAAAAGATGGTATACCGCAAACAAAAGGTGCAAAGGTTTTTGTACACCATATCCGGATTTCGACAATTAATGTCTCTCTCTATATATATATATACAAGTCTAAATTGAAAACAACGTATATATATTACGTATATACAGGTCTGTGTTATTTTTATTTTCTGTACAAACAAGACATGTACAGTAGCATATCTTCATCTTGGAACCCCGAGGGTGTAGAAAAATAGTTTCCTTCCGACCGGCAGTAAAACCCTTGCCAAGTGGGACATCCGTTTGGCTTCGCGGGATGTATAAATACGCAGCCACGCCCGATCAGAATAGGGACGAAATATGAGGCCTGATGTAGAGGGAGCTTCACATTCCCTGCACGTTAAGAACCCTCGCAACAACTCTTTTATGGGTTCGTACGTAGCCGTTTGCAAGGGAGAAAATGTCTGCCCAATCCATTATACCCACATTCTAAGCTGGAAGCTGTTCAAATTTCCCTCCTTTTCTCCGGTCAACCCCTATATATATATAACAGGACCTATACCTATTGCATCTATTTATATTTTGTTCTCGTCCTGAATATGCTTGAAATATTTGCCACTGGACATAAAACAAACTATCCATAAATCAATCATCCTGGCTCATGAATAAAAGATGTATACAGCAACAAGACAGCAAAGTAACAACAAAAACAAATTAGAAATAAAAATTTAAAACAAAAATCCACATGCACATAATTTGTTTTTTCATATTTCAATTGACTGAAAACGAAAAAGCTTCGAAACGAAAGACACGCAGCTTTGCTTCAAGTTATGATTTTTTTATGCTTAATTTATCATTTCTGCCTGAAATCTAGAAAACCTTAAGGTTGATTTAGAGGGTTTCGCATGGAAAGGTGGATTAAAATTAATTTTCTTTGATTTTATCATATCACAAAAATGGTAGAAAGGGGGGAGTCAGTTCTTCCCCCGGACCCACAAACCGACTTCTGCATCCAACAATGGTAGCCTTATCAAACACTTGATACACTTTTAAAACAAGAAACTGCTATTTGTTAAAATCTTATGGTCAAATATTTCATGGAAGTTAACAAATTCAAAATGTTTGCAAATTTCTTTTTTAATGTGTTGTGCTAACAATAAAGTCTCCCGTATTTTCCTGTGCGAAACAAATTTTCATTTACAATTAGCATACGCTATAAAATACGTTAGAAAGCCTATACAACTATATATTGGACACAATATAAGCGTAAGGAGATGTAGTATGACTTCCAATAGGACAAGCATCAATCCCCAAGACCAAAGCTATCGCATATCTCAAAGGATCCGGGATGACAAAGTGTCAACAGTTTCAAAGAGAAAACCAACGTCCTTATTATTAATTACAAAATGTAAATATGATAGTTATGCTAATCATCTGAAATTATTCAATAATATTATTCAACTACTGCTAATACAAATATAAACGAAATAGACAAAAATACAGGCTATCGCATATATTCACAATTTTATTCCTGTCAATTTACCATTATTTTAATTATAGTTTAAGTACATGTCATTTACAATTTTCTGTGGGAGACGTTTGTGGTTTTATATTGCAAAGAATTTATTTTGTATGCGGAAGGCTTACGTTTAAGTTTATTCTCCTTTAGCGGACCTTCCTGTTAGCTTTTATTCGATAGATATTTGGGAAATTTCGTGGAGCGTTTATGGGAAAATATTTCCAGTCAAACACGCATCAAACGGTAGTTTTCAACAGGCGGTGTATATGTACTTAATTTAATATCAATCAAGTGGTATATATAGGAAGTGCGCTAAATGATTCAGATGTAAGCATTTTACACGTGGCATTAACTATACACGTGTCATGTTCTGCATCATTCTCTTAATCTATCATCGTTTTGCATTACGTATAGTATATTGCTTTTTGTGGAGACTGAAAGAGAAAGCATATGGGTCGTAAATATGCATATTCAGTTTCCCCATTGAAAAAATCGTATACATATATTATTTACGAATATAATTTCTTTTCATTCATGGGTAAGAAGGTTAGTTTCTGCACTGGCTTGCAACAGGGGTAAACGATGGACATTTTCGTTGTTTAGTCCTCGGTTTAGTCAGAAGATATATTTAATGGAATACCGATGTCCATGTGAACTTAAAATGTCACTGATAAAAAAACATACAAAACTTTAATGCAATTATCGGTGTTGTGGTCAACGTCCTAGAAATCGAATTCCTTACTATATATATAAATTTGCGCCGGTCTGTCAAGACTATGATCTGTTCGAGGTAGCTGCATGCATGGTCACTGCATGGAATCCTATATAGACTACGCCAATTTGAAGTAATTAGCGGCATTACAATCAGTGACGACAACGGTTGTGCACACTAAAGTTTCAGAATAACTCCATTGACATGAAACCTATCGTACAACCCATATCTGGCACTCTCTAAAAATTACACGTCTCCAATCATTCTGAATTAAGTCTACGGAAAGGGATATCCATCTGTTCGCCATAAGAAATAAACTTGAATCAGTTGCATGTATTATAGATACACCTCGAGGGCGTTAGCCCGAATGGGTGTATCTAATTTACACAAAGATATTTATTGTCAATGCAGAATGATATTTTTCAAAAACTGAGGAGGCCGGGGTTAATTCTTTCAGCGATTTGACCATATGTTATTGAAAAGTATGATAAATGCAGGGTATCCAATTTTATTTATTAAACGACATCTTCATGATCTTGGTGTAAATCAGTGATTCAAGAAAAGCCAAAATTGAGTTGTAAGGGGCGAGCATAACAAAGGTTACCATTGTACTATTAAGTGTTTTTAGTTATTCAGTTAAAAAAGCGGCCAATATATAAAACATTTTTAATCTTTGTCCGCCTTTAAAAATATTCAGAAATCCGTGACGTTGGGTGCATCAGCATCGGGGTCAAAAGAGAGGCGAACGATATCAAAGCATATGCAAAATTACAAGTCGAAAACAAACCGACAATGCCATGACGAATAAAACATGTAAAACGACGAAGACAAACAAAAGTACACAAATACTAAAGTGTTCAACTATAAATGAATAGTTTTACCCTTGTCAATAATACATCAACAGGAGTGTATTGTTAATTTACATAAAAAAATAAAGAATAATGTCATGTTTGTTTTTGTCTGAAACCTACTTTCACTTCTTTTTATAAGGAGAAATGCTAGATTAAAACAAACAATCTATAGTATTTTCTCTCAGGCTGATTTGAGGTATCTAAAAAATTATATATATTGAATAATGTGACAAGTTCCGAGCTTGGCATCGCTCTGAATATTTTTGTATCGAGACGTATTTCTAAATGTTTCGAGGTCAATTTTGTTCCATTTTCTCAAAATATTACACGCTCCCCCCTTCTGCGACGGCGGATCAAATTTCTCTGCCACGCTGGCAAATGCCAAGAATGTAATTCATTCAGCGTGGACCAATCGAAATATTGGTTTTATCGTCAGCGTAGACAAACAGGCTGGACCGAACTGCATTGTTCCTTATTTTGATTGGACAACTTCAGTTGCAACGTGTAGCTTTGAGTTATCTCCACTTAGCTGAGAGGTTAGTATAAAATGAAAACAAAATAATCGGCTTTTTTGATGCACAGATGTTATAAGTAGTAAGAAGTACATTGTGTATTGATTGTTAGGTCATAGTGTATAATCAGGTGTATAAACGATTACGGTAAGTGGTTTACATCTCCTTTAATTCACGTGAATTAAAACCCATTCACTAACGCAAAGTTGGCATTAAGTCTTTTAAAGTCTTTTCCTTGGAGTTCGGTATTTTTGTTATTTGTGTTATTTTACTTTTTATCTGTCAAATAATACCCGCTATTTTGAAAAAAAAACAATATATATTATAAGTGACAAGCTTATTTTTACTCGAGCAAATATCTAAAATAATCTATGGCTATGCAATATCTGCTACAATGACATTTTGGTTGTCTCTGATTTCTGGGCTTATCGCGATAGCATCTTTTCAGTATATATACTATTTTCGAAAATTTAAACTTTTCTGTAAAGTGGCAAAAAAAAGTAGGACCAAATTATCAATTAGTATAATGTGTGTTTAAAATTTCATGCGAATAAAAGATTGCATAAGGTTATTTTTGCTGAATTCGCTTGGCAGCTTATTTCTATCACCTATTGTCTTTGATGTTAGAATTTGGCCATATTGAATAGGGGGCAGATTTTTTTATAGTGGTGGAAATAGTATTGAGAGTACGTGAAATCCTATGCATGTTTCCAAGCAACTGTTCTGTTTTAATGATGTTTTCCCGTATTTTTTGTACCATTTTTACCTCCATTATGAAAATCTGTCCCCTATTCAACACTAACTTTGAAGGGGCCTTTTAATTAGATATGATTAATTACTCATTTGTTGATGTATGTTTTCATACCTGTCAACCTTTTGAACATAATATGCACAATAAAGATTCATTGTGCTGAGTGAACTTGGTCGTAAAAATTGAAATTTTTCATTCAATCTGCTTGGTATTTGCAGTTATATTTCTTCTTTTTTACACTGCCGCTTGGTTCAGACAAAGACCTTTATCTAGTTTGAGTTGACATAGCAGAAATGGTTTTTGATTACTAATAAATCGAACATAAAAATTACTGACCAAAGTTTTGAAATGATCGCTGATTGTTTGTTTTTTTTTATTAATTGTAAAGAAAAATCCTGAGAAATACGAATGCTGGTCATTCTGAGTTAAAATATCCGAAAGCGGGAAATTCTATACTCCCGCGCAGGAGATTTCCACAATTATATCAAAATTTACAAGCTGGTATGGTCTGGAAATTTGCTCAAAGTATCTCTAGTTCGATTTGTAATGATAAAACAAGTAAGGGTTTTGTTCTTGAAGTTCAAAAGTAATGAAAAAATATGAATATTGGCAAAGAAATTTGTCCAAGGACATACTTGATTTGATCTGTGAAAACTCTCAATATAAATCTTGGTTTATTTATAGATTAAAGATTCAGCATTTCAAAATGAAAGCCTCTAGTATATATGTAGTACTGGGAATTTTAAGTGTCTCATACTGTTCTGCTATACCAAAGCCAGGAGAAGAGGACCATAAAAACCGAGTTCATGAGAAGGTAAATATATTAGGTATAACCATTGCCTTTTTTGTTGATCACAGTACAGTTCTTTATCATAAAGTCTATCTTGTGTCAGATGGATTTATTAGAGTACATGTGTATTACTCTTCTGATAGCTTTACAATTTTCAAATGTACTCACTGATTCTTTCAATTTTGATCACCCCCAGTTTTTGGTAAGGATCATGTTGCTCAGTCTTTAGTTTTCTATGTTGTGCCACACTGGTTAGTGACATAGTGTACTGTTGTTTGTTTTTTCATGGTTTTTCATTTTTTGCCATGACGTTGTCAGTTTGTTTTCAACTTATTAGTTTGAATATCCCTTTGATATCGTTCACCTCTCTTACCCACCAAAAAATACTTTACTTTATAGAAACTTATCATTATTGTAGAGGCTACGTAAATAATTAGTTAAATAGTAAGGGGACTTCTGCTCATCAGAACCACAGATAAGTTAGATTATCAGAAAAATTTGAAATGAAGGACGGAGAAATGTTAAAACAACCGTTATTATTTCTTAACAAAAGTTTATTTCAATAGACAGAAACATCTGAATTGGGGTAGAATTTTGGGGGATGCAGACTTGTAAAGATAACCCTTATTATTATAAAGCAGCTAAGAGCTTTCATGTTTTTGTTGAATCATTTTAAAATTTGGAAAAGGTTTCCACTAATCAAAACCTCAATAGTATAAATCCAATAGATAAAAAAAACGTAAAATGGGGCGTTTGTTGAAATTTTACAAGTGAGATTTAGAATAAACAATGTAGAGAAAATTTCATGCAGATAAAAATAAAAACAGGATAAAATATGTTCCCTAGAGACTTTATACTGTAGGTTTGAGTTACGATGAATGTTTTCAAGCATGAATTTCATCAGTTGTACATCTTTACTATATTGCTTCAAGATATATATAAATATATCATATTTTAAGCATTCCAGTAATATTTATATGTTTTTAGAATGGTTTGGGGGTTTTTGATACATTTAAATCAGGTCATGTGGTTGATGTTGTTTTTGATACTGTTATATTATCAATCTAATCACCTTTCACCTCAGTTTTGTTAATATGTGATTATATATATATATATATATATATATACATGAGGCAAATATGTTGTACCTTACATATGAAAATAAAGATAGTTTTGATTTTTAAACAATTGCCTAATAATAGTAATGCTTAAATCACCAATTTTCATGCTTCACTCTCTAATGATTAAACAAAATTGAAAATGTATTATTTGATTAATTATACTACAATTATAGATAAACACGTTTTGTTTGTTATTTAAGAAATTAAGTGAGTCCCCACATGAAGAAGAAGGAGAACACAATAATGATTATGACCATGAAGCATTCCTTGGGCGTGAAGAAGCGAAAACATTTGATCAATTAACACCAGAAGAGAGTAAAGAACGACTAGCGTAAGTTAACCTTTATTACAGACACAAATTTCAATTGTTTATCCAATATACATTTTTTAAATACAACATTTTACCTAAGACAGTAAAACTATACATTTAAGCATGTTGTATTAGATATGATAGTAATATACCTAGTATGAAGCATTCAATATGTAGGATATATACGTTAATGAAATGACACCAAATAGATGCACAAAGCAAACTTACAATTTACACTATGTAATTTAATTTACCAACTTTTTCTTCAGTTACATATGTACATGTTGATATTGTCTGATATTTCCACAAATCAGGGTAACATGCATTTCAATATTCTAATGTCAATTTTTGATTTACTGTAAATTCAGAAATTAATGTGATGCTTTTATTATTGCAAAAAATCTAACACCCCAAAAGAATGTCTCGGCAGAAACATCACATTTTTGCCAATTGTCATTGAATGGCAATAATAAGTGCACACAATCATTTCTGAATTTACAATACCCTTTACCAGTAATTGAAGACAAATGTACTCTTAGGACATTTCTTTTTCAATAGTTATATATTTTCTTTTGGAATTTTACAGTATTTTAGTTGAAAAAATTGACAAAAACAAAGACGGGGATGTTACAGAAGAAGAACTGAAAGAATGGATACAGTATGTACAGAAACGTTACATTACGACAGACACAGATCGTATGTGGAAAGATCATGATATACAGGGAGACACACTCGTATGGGAGGCATATAAAAAGAGAACATATGGTTTTGAAGATGGTAGGTGTTCTGTAGTGAGATTACCTCTAGCAAGTGGAAATAGGTGTGCAATGTGATTAAGTGCATATAATTTTACTGAGAGATAAAAAAAAAAAATTAAAAGCGGGGTGTGTATAAAGGAATCACCCCACCTGTCTGTCCATATGCTTTGTAAGTGCAACTCCCCCTAATCAGCTAGACAGATATTGATGAAACTTAAGATAGTTGTAGAAAAATATCTGAGGATGTGTGTAAAGAATTAGAATCTACATGTTGAAGGGGAGATAATTGAAATATTGCAATATGTAGTAATAAGTCTCTTGTAAGCAAAAAGGGCTGGAGGGATATTGAAAAAAAACTACTTGCTTGAGGGAAGATAATGCCTCTCCAGCATGTCAAAGGAGGGGCTGTGGCTAAGTGGTCAACTACAATGATCACTGGCCTGTCAACTCGGAGGTTGTCAGTTCAAAGCCTAGCTCTTTGAGTCTATCTTCAAGAGGTGTGTTTTATATGTGAGTATATTTGAATTAACATTTTGACCTAATGAGAAACTTTCTTTAGGTTTAAGAAGTTTGGCTTTATATATTGTTCACACATGTTATGTTGATAACTTTTTGTGTATATCCCATGTTTGAATGTGGTAGGCAAAGATAAATGCATTAAAAATTATATAATTTTCAATTATATTTTCAAACATAGCTTATAAATGTTCTTAGCATACATGTACTTCCAAACTTGAAAAAATATTGATTTTCTATGTTTTTTAAAATTTTTGAATTTTTGAATATTACCTGCAAGTTATATATTTTCAACCTATCTCACTTTACTGTAAGCAATACGTTTTAAGAATAATTCCAGTATTGATAAAGATATTTATGCCCCTGCCGTAGCGGAGGGGGCATTATATAAATAACACATAGCTGAGAGGGTGATAGAGCAGATTGTTACCCCGAGAAAACATTGTCAACTGAGGCGAAGCCAAGGTTGACAATGTTTTTCGAGGGTTAACAATCTGCTCTATCACCCTCTCAGATATGTGTTATTTAATTTATTATACTGAATGTTCTGTTATTACTGTCTATTAAATTTCAAATTCAAAGTAATAAACTATGTTGTCTTGTACATAACAATCATCCGTATTTATTAAAGCGCACACTTCAGCAAGCGTCTCTGTGAAGGGTAATAGATAATTTTCATGGGATAGAGTAAATTGACTCCCTCGTATTAACCAATCAAAATCTGGCTGAATTTTTCGTAACCATTCTCGAACTTAAGTTTGCCTCAACCAAATGTTATGAATTTTATACACAATACTTATTACCACAAACAAAGGTCAAGTTTGAATTTTGGTGGTGTCACTTTTACTGTTCTAGAGTTATGCCCCTTTACAATTAAAAAATCGGCTGAATTTTCGTTTCCATTCTATAACTTAAGTTTGCCTTAACCAAATGTTATGAAACTTGTACACAATGCTTATTATCACAAAACACAGATCAAGTTTGAATTTTGGTGGTGTAACATTTTACTGTTCTAGAGATATGCCCCTTTACAAATAAAAAAAATGCTGAATATTTTCGTTTCCATTCTATAACTTAAGTTTGCCTCTACCAAATGTTATGAAACTTATACACAATGCTTATTACCACACAACTCAGATCAAGTACAAATTTGGGTAGCGTCACTTTTACCATTCTTTAGTTATGTCCATTTTATAACATTGCATGCAAGAGGGGGCATCTGTGTCCCATGGACACATTCCCCATTTACTATATTTTGTCTTCTTGATAACAGACTTCTCTTTTGATCCCTTTTGTAGTTACCATTTTGTAGTTACGACTATTTTAATAAATCAACAATTTCTGTCTTAAATATAATGACTATTTAAATAAATCAACAATTTCTATCTAAATTATAATAGACTATTTAAATAAATCAACAATTTCTATCTTAAATATAATAGACATACTGTTGGTGTCTCATTTATTTTCATGTACATGTATACCCCACATTTCTTTTTATTAGCTCACCTGACCTGAAAGGTCAAGTGAGCTTTTCTCATCACTTTGCGTCCGTCGTCCGTTGTCCGTCGTCCGTAAACTTTAACAAAAATCTTCTCCTCTGAAACTACTGGGCCAAATTTGACCAAACTTGGCCACAATCATCATTGGGGTATCTAGTTTAAAAAATGTGTCCGATAACCCCGCCAACCAACCAAGATGGCCGCCATGGCTAAAAATAGAACATAGGGGTAAAATGTAGATTTTGGCTTATATCTCTGAAACCAAAGCATTTAGAGCAAATCTGACATGGGGTAAAATTGTTTATCAGGTCAAGATCTATCTGCCTTGAAATTTTCAGATGAATCGGACAACCCATTGTTGGGTTGCTGCCCCTGAATTGGTAATTTTAAGGAAATTTTGCCGTTTTTGGTTATTATCTTGAATATTATTATAGATAGAGATAAACTGTAAACAGCAATAATGTTCAGCAAAGTATGATCTACAAATAAGTCAACTTGACCAAAATGGTCAGTTGACCCCTTAAGGAGTTATTGCCCTTTATAGTCAATTTTTAACCATTTTTCGTAAATTTTTGTAATCTTTTACAAAAATCTTCTCCTCTGAAACTACTAAGACAAATTTAATCAAAATTGTCCACAATCATCATTAGGGTATCTAGTTTAAAAAATGTGTCCGATGACCCCGCCAACCAACCAAGATGGCCGCCATGGCAAAAAAATAATACATAGGGTAAAATGCAGTTTTTGGCTCATATCTCTAAAACCAAAGCATTTAGAGCAAATCTGATGGTATAAAATTGTTCATTAGGTCAAGATCTATCTGCCCTGAAATTTTCAGACCAATCAGGCAACATGTTGTTGGGTTGCTGCCCCTGAATTGATAATTTTAAGAAAATTTTGCAGCTTTTGGTTATTATCTTGAATATTATTATAGATAGAGATAAACTGTAAACAGCAATAATGTACAGCAAAGTTAGATCTACAAATAAGTCAACATGACCAAAATTGTCAATTGACCCCTTAAGGAGTTATTGCCCTTTATAGTCAATTTTTTACAATTTTCATAAATTTTGTAAATTTTTGTAAATTTTTACAAAATATTTTCCACTGTAACTACTGGGCCAAGTTCATTATAGATAGAGATAATAGTAAGGAGCAAGAATGTTCAGTAAAGTAAGATCTACAAACACATCACCATCACCAAAACACAATTTTGTCATGAATCCATCTGTGTCCATTGTTTAATATGCACATAGACCAAGGTGAGCGACACAGGCTCTTTAGAGCCTCTAGTTCACACTGTGACAGCATATGGAACAAACAATATTTTCTTATAGATGTATTGTGAAGAATATAAAAAAACACATAATCATTGCTAGAATGTAACATTGAGAAAAGTTCATCTTTAAGAAAGAAAATGTACATACACTAGGCAAATGATTCCTTAGTTGCAAGCATTTTTGTTTTATTAGTCCCCTACTGACGAAGTCGAAGAGGACTTTAGGTTTGCACTCCGTCCGTCTGTCAATCCGTCAGTCAAGCAAATTAGTTTTCCACACTTTTTTTCTTCGTGCTTGAAGATATTGATTTGATATTTGGTATATTGTTTTATCATGAAAAGTTACAGATTAAGTTCGAATTTTGTTCCAGTCTGATAATTTTGTGCAGAGTTATGGTCTTTGGACTTAGAAAATTCACTAAAATATTCAGTTTTCCGCACTTTTCTCGTCATGCTTGAAGATATTGATTTAATAATTGGTACATTGTTTTATCATGACGAATTACAGATCAAGTTCGAATTTTGTTCCGATCTGATGATTTTGCGCAGTTATGGTCCTTGGACTTAGAAAAATTCACTCAAATAATCAGTTTTCCACACTTTTTTTCATCATGCTTGAAGATATTGATTTGATAATTGGTATATAGTTTTATCATGACAAGTTACAGACCAAGTTTGGATTTTGTTTTGGTCTGATGATTTTGTGCAGAGTTATGGTCCTTGGACTTAGAAAATTCACTTAAATAATCTGTTTTTTTGTCATGCTTGAAGATAATGACTTGATATTTGTTAAATAGTTTACACTTTGACAAGTTATAGATCAAGTTAGCATTTTGTTCCAGTACAATTAATTTTTAATCGGTAGGGGACTATGTATTGCCATGCAATACTCTCAGAATGCTTGTTTTCAAATTAACTTGCAATTTGATTAGGCCAACTAAAATTAGATAGTAGATTTTCATCCAGATTTTTGAAAAAAATGGGGTAAGTGGGAGGATTTTATTTTTTTTATTTTTTTATTTCCTCCGAAACCCTTTTGTAATGTGTTCTTCCTATGCAAGGGTAATAATAAGTTTATATCATGTATATATAAGGAATTCTACAAATTTTTAAGATTCTTAAATAAATATTTCTGATTGGCAACAGTTGAACCACTGTTCTACAAATAATTGCCGCTTTAGAAACCTATTTTCATTTAATACCAGGAAGGTGGATAAATGCTCTCTTAATACTAAGTTTGATGCATTTAAGATTCTTATGCAAGATGCAAATATAATTACAATGTAAAACAATGAACTTAACCAAAAAGAAGAAGTTGTTTAATGACTCTAATGAGGGGCTGGGGACAGTGGGTGTTTGCTGTTTGTCAATAAAAAACGATAGCCTTGGGGTAAATCTAAGGGCTTGCTATTATACATTGTGTACGTTGGCTGACTTTTTTGGGTCATAAATCTCACAAGTTTGTGCTTGTGTTAATTTCTTTATTCCAGTCATGTTTTTGTACCAATGTGTTCCATGAGTCTTGCGCTTTGAATATCGTTCACAGTCCAAATTTCCTGACACTAAGTCATTGTATAGCTAGAAAAATCCACGGTTTTTCAGTAATCTCTGAAATTTGTGACATGCCGTGATTCGCTTTCTTGGTCACCATGGCCACCTTTTACTCGTAACCCGATTTTTCCATGCCCTTCCCGTAATCAATCTCTATTCTGGGAAGATAATGAGCAGAACATGTAGACTTAATTTTTTTGGTAAAATTACTGGAGGAAATATGAAAAAAACGAAATTTTCAACAGGAAGTTTTGAATGAAAGGAAATTAGAGGCAGTTACGGTAATGGAAATGAGCAAAATCTAAAAATTTTAATCTTTTAAAAATTAAAATAAATCGGGGCGTGACTATTTCAGAGGGGCCGGTGGGGATGAAAATATATCAATTAATTTTAATTGGCCTTACCTGTAATTTTAAACCAATTGCTTTGAATTGTAGTTATGAAATCAGCGCATAGTGTTGTGTAACCAATATTAGCAAACAGAAACAAGTTTGTCTGATCATGTTGATTATGATATGTAATTATATTCATAAACTATTTATATGAACAATTTACTTTTTTTCTTACAGACCATAATGATGAGAACTCTCCAAACTTTAGTTACAAAGATATGATCAATCGTGATGAGAGACGATGGAAGGCTGCAGATAAAAATAAAGATGGAAAATTAGACAAAACCGAATTTTCAGACTTTTTACATCCAGAAGAAGCAGGACATATGAGAGATATTGTTGTACAGGTAAAATATTGTAAAAAGAAACTAGAAACTAAAGTTTTCTTAGAAAAGGGGAGATTACTATTCCCTTCATATGGTACAGCCCTTCTGTAGAGTTTGTTAAAAAAAAATGACAAAATGCAGAAGACCCAAACTGTTTCATTTGTCACTAATATTTGATATGATGAAATTGATTGTAATGTTTAACAGACAGAAAGCAAAATTTTTAGCTTTTGAATCTAAAAGTAATATTATCAAAAGCTCATATTTCTATTTGTATCAATGTATTTATAATGAATAGTTTACACTCTGTTTTATTTAAAACAAACTTGATTATTGTTTTATTTGAAGTGAACTTGATTTTGTTTTGTTTCATTTAAAACTAATTTGATTTTTTTGTAATTTAGGAGACCATGGAAGATATAGACAAAGACAAAGATGGTTTTATCAGTCTAGAAGAATATATAGGTAAAAACATCTCAAATATCTTACAAAATATTTGTTATGTTTTGACAAGAGTTATTGTTACTGTTCTGTATGTCAGGTGGTACATGTTTGTCAAAATTTCTCAGGGACTACTGAACTGAATGACGTCATATTTTATCAGCAGCTTCACATTAATATGTTGTAAATTATTTGCACATCTCAACTCTTGTTTTCTGTTGAATTTATCAAAATGCTGAATGATCTTAAAATTTGTCATCACACTTTTCTCAAAAAGTACCAAATAGAATGACTCTATTTTTAGTCAGCAGCATGGCAGTAACTTCTAAGCTTTTTTAAGATCTGTCAGATACCTACTTGCTGTTTTTCTGATACTATGAATTTCCTGTGGAAGTATGCTAAGCACGACTTTCGTACAAACTGTTTTATATTCAGAATTTAAATTAAATGAAAAAAAAGATGAATGCGTAATGTAGAAATTGACTAAAAAAGAGGAAAAAATCTTTCAGTTTACAAAGTTTAACATTAGATTGCTTGACATGTGCTTGATATTTAGCTGATGTTTATGACGAAGATGAAGAGGATGAGGATGAAGACTATCCTCATGATGGAAAACCTGACTGGGTGGAAAGTGAAAAAGTACAGTTCAAGTCCCACCGTGACAAAGATAAAGATGGCAAACTGAATGCTGAGGAAGTAATGGAATGGATCATACCACAAGATTATGATCATAGTGAATCAGAAGCACAGCATCTTGTTTTCACAGCTGATGAAAATAAGGTTCGTTAATAGTGACCTTAATATTTATATCTAAACTTTTTTGACCTTTGTAGGTGACATGTGGCCAAATCAAGATGGGGAAGAGCCTGAATGGGTCAAAAGTGAAAGGGAACAGTTTAATACATATCGTGATAAAAATTCTGATGGCAAAATGGATCATGAGGAGGTTAAAGACTGGATTATTCCCCCTGATTATGATCATACTGATGCTGAAGCCAAGCACTTGATATATGAATCAGATACCAACAAGGTTTGTAACCACAAATCTTATTGGCTGAAATGTATCACATGGTTTGGAAACTATTGTAAACAGACTAGACTTAATTATTTCATACTACTATTTCCTCTGTTTTTGTAAGGTTTAATTAGAACATTTCACAATATACAGATCTGAGAATGACAAAATGTACTATTTTACTAAAATCCTTAAAGAAGAACAAAAAATTTTTTTTTTTATATTTATGTTGATTGAAAGGATATTTTCTATTAAATAGATAGATTCAAGCTTTCTTCTATGCTCTCACATATTAAACAATGCTAAAGAAACAATAATTTCCACAAAATTCTACAGAAATATAGTTCTATCTTTATTTCTAGTTCTATAGTTAATTTTATCGGTTTTAGATCTGTCTCATGTATAAACCTTACACATAGATTGCACTTTTGTCTGGTCTATATACAATAGTTTCCACATCATGACTAAAACTTTGACTTTGGGAAGGTTATTTGCTTGCATGTATTATTACCTTTGGGATTTATGACACTTTCCATTTCTGATTTTGTCACTAAATTTCGTCAGAGAGTCAGCTATTTTTCAGTTAAAGGTTGACATTTGTGTCTTGGATATAATTTTTAGATACAGATTTAATGTGTAAATGTACATTTTATTTGTGAATTTTATATATATAATAGTAATGTCATCTTTGTGGTATATTGTAACAGCTGATTTTAATGAAAGGAATATTGTTTATTTAATTGCCCATAAAGTCACATTCCAGATTTTCTTTTCAATGTTACACAAATGATTGTGAAGGAAGTGTGTTCAATTGAAATTTGATAGGGGGTTATATTTGATATTGGAAACTAGCTATAGGCTATTTTATGACTTATTCAGCCATCTATTTTAAGTTATATTCATGATGATTTTTTCTATAATTGCTACAGACACCACAATGCATTTTTTTTTTGACTGCCTTCATTTAAATCTTACTAATGGTGGTGGATATCTCATGGATTAGATAATAGTTACACTTCTGTTGCTGTGGAAAATGAGGTTCTTAGCATGAATGTGCTGGAGGAGTTTAGAGTGATTCCTTTTTCTCATCGGCTGTGCAGAAAATTATTTGTTGTCAAAACCAAGCATAAATTATATATTTTTATCCATCAAGTATTCCTATGTCAATTTGACTTGGTCAGACGTGGCTAAAACTTTTTTTGTAATTAATGGCCATTCTAATCTCGATCATTAGTGATTCAGATTTTGAATTACTGTGTACTACTTTATTTATACTCCAATATTAAAATACATCAGTTATCAAATATTTTCTTCCTCAGTGGATAAAATCAATTTGTTATGTAATTAAGCAGCAAGTTTTTTTTCTCCATATATTTCCAATTTCTATCAAGATTTCACATTTTTTTCTTGCATTTAGTGCAATTTTTCATTCAATATTGAAAGTGGACAAAAACAATCTTTCAATTTAATTTGTTTGCAACAGGCATTTCTGGTAAGTATCAGAACTATTGTATAAATCAGAATGAAATTGATGATTACATATAAAAAAGTCAAAAAGTCGATATAAAAATAAGAAAATGTGGTATGATTGCCAATGATACAACTCTCCACCCGTGACCAAATGACGTAGAAAAACAAATATAGGTCACTGTACGGCCATCAATGTTTTTACAGATCACTTGATACTACATAATTGTTAAAATTCCATTATTGAGAAATCTTTATAAAAAACAGGAATGTAAGGGTATGCTCCGTTTTATAGTAGATCTTCTGTATAGTTTAAAAACCGCAATAAACGAAAACTAAAACCCTTTTCATGAAAATTGTCCTTGTACAGACTTTTATCTTGTAATGCCCACATATCTGGATCTGGTTTTTTGTACATCAGTGTATAATAATAATGACTTGGAGATCAAGTTTGTGTTTCGTTCTTGTTGAATGGCTTTTACCGTTCAAGGCTTCAGACAGGGGCATTTGTGTCGTATAGTCATATTCATGCTAGCATGAAGAAAATACTTTATAATTGCTCAAGGAGTTGAAAAAATATGAAGGTAAATCAATCAATGTTTAAATGCAATATGCTAGTATAAACATTGAATTTGTACAGTGTTGGTTTGGATGCAGAAACAGTTAATTAGTTGATTTTGTTGTTTTCACAGATTAGTATGGAATAAATGTATGTTACATTTTCCTGTTTTATTTTTCAGGATGGCAAATTAAGTAAAGAAGAAATAATTGAACATTATGACACATTTGTTGGAAGCCAAGCAACAGATTTCGGTGAAGCACTAACAAGACATGATGAATTTTGAGAGTAATCTTCAATAGAAACTATGATCAAATTTGAGGAACAATATTTATATTTATCATGCTAACCATGTGACTTCAGGGAAGTGATATAATAGTAACCTTTGAACCAAATATTATGTGATATAGTGTGCTTTTAAAAAAAGCATAATACATATAAAAAACATCATCAATATACTCTAGTCAAGCTGAAGATTTTTATACGGATGTGTAAAGAATGGCCGACATGAACAGTTGATCTTCAATGAATTACATATGATATATTTTTTTAAAAACAAATAATAGATTTGAGTTGTCTTAGATCTCAATATTACAACTTTTAAGTCCTATTAAATCTTTGAGAATTCCTTGATTTATTTGATTTAAAATTTACATAAAGATTGAAATGTTAATTTTATGTAGTTTTTTAACCATTCAGTATTCTCATGAAACAGTATAGTGCAGACACATCAGAATGATAAAAAAGAGATGCATGGATGTTTTAAGTCTTAAACCTGTAGAATAGAATGGGAAACATGTAGGTGACCTCTTTCTCTAAATGTTTAATTGACATACTGTCGAGTAACATTTTTGTCCTTTCTGAATTAGCTGTCTTCTACCATTCCCAATTTTCAAAATCATTTAATTTTATGTCTTATTTGGAACTTTTCAGTAAAGGGGTTTATATTAAACTACAGCATTCGAAACTACTTTTAATTTTTAACAAATTGTATGTACTCTTGCTTTGATTTTTCTGTATGTAGAATTCCAAATTGTACTGTATCTGATGAACAAGTTGAATATTGATTTTTATCTGACACGTCTGTATAATTTTTGTGATGGCATGTAAACTGTAATAAGTTGTATGTATGCACGCAATAAACAATATGTCACATGTAATATAAGATCGTAAATTGACAATGCATATTGAGGAAAAAGTTATTGGATATTGTCTGTTAATAATGTTGAGAAAAATACTGAAAAAGTTGTTTCATGGTTTTCACATATTATTAAACAGTAACTTGTTTAATGTTCATACTAGATCAAACTAATTTGATTTATTGTACTTTGCATTTTGGTAATTAGCTATATTCCATCATTTTGTAGTGAAATAAAGGAAAAATTCATCATTATAGGACCTGTTCTTATATCATTTGTTTACTTTCCAAAAATCACTTGAAATCACATTGGTTTTGCCCAATTACACCCATGGTTTTAACATAGATTAAAACAAGCAAATGCTGATAGACATTTCAGCAACTTTCATTTACTTTTGCTCATGCATTTAAAGAGAAACATCCATACACAGCATGATCTTGGCATTTTGAATACCAAAGGTTGTCTGAAGAATGCAGCTTTTAGTTACAATTGGAGCCATAATTAGAAAATGTGCAATAATATACCTAATTAATAAGAATAATTACCTCAGTTAACCCATTTCAGATACTTCATTCATTATCATAATCATATGCTATAATTATGAAGAATATTAAAATATTATACTGTAATGTGGGATATTTCGTGATAAGCTTTTTTTGCAAACTTGACAAACAAGATAAAATCTTGAAAATATCTCCCTAAAAAATTTTGTTCTATAAACAACAGAATCGGGGATAAAAAAAAAATGCAAAAATAAAATCAGTTTGGTTGTAGAAGTAGCGAAAATTGAAAATTCCACAAAAATAAACAACCTTACACATGTTACAGTATGTTAAAATGATTTAAAGGTTTTACATTTATAGCTTGTTGATACTTTTATATAACTAAATGAGATGGTCTGACCAATAAATATGTAAATCCATGTAAACAGTTGATGGTATAATGGCCAGTCTAGACATGCATTCTTTGCCTTGAGAGATCAGTTTTCTTGTTGATTGAAATTTTTTTAAAATATGTTTATTATTTTTGTTTGTTTATTGTTGCATATATGTTCAGTGCCAATTATATTTACCGATTTTCACATCTGAGTTTTAACATTTATATTATGTATCAAAGATGATAAGAGATAATGTGAACATTCAGTGATTTCGTAATTGAGTTTTAGCGTATTTGTTGAAAAGAAATTTGATGCCTTTTCATTTGCCTTTCAGTATAGATTTGTTTTGTAAAAAGACGGATGTGTGTAGTAGAGTTTACATCATTTAATATTGTATAAATGTACTTTGTGAGAGAGAAAAAAAACAGTGACCAGATAAAGTTTGTTTATAGTGCCTTTGTAGAATTGCAATAACTTGAACAGTTGATTAAAGCCATATAGAAAATTTTACCAAAATAAAAAGTGTCTTTTGCACAAATTTAATAATATCTGAATAGTAGTTAAAAAAAACCTCATTTTTCTACTTAAAAAATCGTTGAACAAATGCATGTGCTATTTATAAAGAATGATTATTTTACATCAGAAATATTTTGGTATGTGTATTATTAATTGAATAATTGGTTTTACATGAAAAATCAGTAAATTCAATGTAAAATTCTATAACTTGAAAGGAAAAAAAGTTGAGGGTATAAAGAATGAAGCTATTAACACTATACTATTTAGTGAGATGTATGGTAAATATATTAAACATCTGTGGTCACTTTTGGTGCTCATCCCTCTGTAATGTGCATTTATACAATAATATATTATGATCAGTAGATTAATGAGAATTGTCTGTAGTTGTATTATGTTTGTTTGCTATGTTTTTTACTGGAATAAACTGCTCATTGTTACTGATTTTAATTTTTTGATTCCCCAGTTTCCTCCATATGCAACACAATTCTAGAAGTGGGGAAAAAAGTTTCAACCTTAACTCTATTCCACTGAAACAGTTCCATGTAGTTTTGAAAACTAATATATATAGAGAAACTATACAAAGCAAAGTAATCAGCAATACTGGATCTACAAAAATGCCAACATGACTGCCACTATTTATTGACTACTTTAGGAGTTATTGCCTTTAAATGAAGATTTTTGACACATTTTAGAATATTTGCCTTCTTTCTTTAATCTATGATAGATGGAAAGAAACTTTAAACAACAACAAAAGTGCACAAATGTCTCACCTGCTGTGTTCATCATGAATTAAATTACATTAAAAATCTGTAATATGAAAGTATTACAACAAGTATTGCATATACTTATGATTATCAATGATCCATGTGAATGAGGTCAAAGTCAGACAGACATGATCACCTTACTATCATATCGTGCACCTATTGCTTATAGTATTTAAGAAACAGGCTTAATTAAGAAAATTGAACACTGACTAATGAACCATTAGATTGAGGTCAAGGTCAAATGAACCCTGTCAGACAACATGTACACCATGCAACCATTTCATACAGCAAATACAGCTGATCTATTGCTTACAGTATCTAAGAAACAGAGATAACCCTGAAAACTTAACATTGACTAATGAACCATGAAAGTGAGGTCAAGGTCAGATGAACTCTGCCAGACAGACATGTAAACCTTACATTCATTCCATACACCAAATATAGTTCACCTATTACAAATGGATAAAACCATGAAAACTTAGCACACCAATGAACAATAAAAATGAGGTCAAGGTCAGATGAAACCTGCCAGAGAGACATGTACACCTTACATTCATTCCATACACAAAATACAATTGATCTTTGACTTGCAGTATCTGAGACAACAAACTAAGATTGACCAATTAACCATGAAAATGAGGTCAAGGTCTGATGAAATCTGCCAGTCAGACATCTTAAAATCATTATATACACTAAATATAGTGGCCCTATACCTTATAGTATAGTCAGATAGACATGTACACCTAAGAATCACTCCATAAACTAAATACAGCTGATCTATTGCTTGCAGCATTTAAGAAACAGATCAAACCACAAAATCTTAACATTGACCCATGTCAAGAAGACACATCAATTTTTATATGCCTGTCAAAATTTTGACGGGACGTATTATGGTATACAAATGTCGTCTGTCCGTCGTAAACATGTCGCACTGTAACTTGAGAACGACTTATCCAAATTTCATGAAACTTAAAATAGTTGTTTCTTATGATGGTCAAACAAACTATACTTTTTGGTGAAAATAAGATTAAAACTTTTTGAGTTATGGGACTTAGTAACTAATTCAGGTGTGTGTTTTTTTTCACATGTCGCGCCGTATCTCAAAAACAATTTATGATTATTGCTTAAAACTTTACACACTTCTTAGTTATATTAATCTTAAGATCTGTATACTTTTTGGTGATGATTCAAAATTTTATTTTTGAGTTATTGAGTATTTTGTAAAAAAAGGGGAGGGGTTTTTCACATGTCGCGCCGTATCTCAAAAACAATTTATGATTATTGCTTGAAATTTTACACACTTCTTAGTTATATTAATCTTAAGATCTGTATACTTTTTGGTTTTGATTCAAAATTTTATTTTAGAGATATTGATTTTTTTTTTTTTAAAGGGGGGTTTTCACATGTCGCGCCATATCTCAAAATCGATTTATGACTATTGCTTAAAATTTTACACACTTCTTAGTTATATTAATCTAAATATCTGTATACTTTTTGGTTTTGATTCAAAATTTTATTTTAGAGATATTGAGTTTTTGGAAAAAAAGGGGGGTTTTCGCATGTCGCGCTGTATGTCAGAAACTATTTATGATTATTGCATAAAAATATACAAACAAGACGACGGGTATATCATGCGCCCATGGCGCAGCTGTTTATTATATAATGGTATGACTTTGTCATCGTCATCTGAAGACATTTGATTAGACAGTTACTTGAGTATAAGTGTGTGTGAAATTGTACCACAAGGTTCCATACCACAAAAGGAAGGTTGGGATTGATTTTGGGGGTAATGGGCTAAAAAACAAGGATTTTCTGGTTTTCAAACAATAACTTGAGTATAAGTCTATGGATCTCTATGAAATTGTACTACAAGGTTCCATACCAAAAAAGGAAGGTTTAATAAAGATTAAAAAGGGGGAATGGCCCTAACCGTTTAGGAAAAAGCAAAATTTTTGTGGTCGTAAATTGGTATGACGTTGGCGTCATTGTTGTCGTCGTTGTCGTCGTCGTCATGTCCGAAGACACATTGGTTGTCGCACTCTAACTTTAGTTTAAGTGAATGGATCTCTATGAAATTTTACCACAAGGTTCAATACCACAAAAGGAAGGTTGGGATTGATTTTGGGGGTTATGGTACCAACAGTTAAGGAATTAAGGGCCAAAAAGGGGCCAAAAATAAGCATTTTTGTAACTTTCAGACATAACTTGTGTGTTAGTGTATGGATCTCTCTGACATTGTACCACAGGGTTCCATATCACTGAGGGAATGTTTGGATTGATTTTGGGGGTAATTGCCTCAAAATTTTAGGAATTAGGGGCCAATAAAGGGGCAAAAAACAAGAATTTTTCTAGTTTCATGACAAAAACTTGTGTGTAAGTGTATGGATCTTTCTGAAATTGTACTACAGGGTTCCATATTACAAAGGGAAAGCTGGAATTGAGTTTGGGGGCAATTGCCCAAAACGTTTAGGAATAAGGGGCCAAAAGGGGGCCAAAAATAAGCATTTTTCTGGTTTCCAGACAATATCTTGTGTTCAAGTGTATGGATATCTCTGAAATTTTACTGCAAGGTACTATACCACAAAGGGAAGGCTGGGATTGATTTTGGGGGTAATTGCCTCAAAATTGTAGGAATTAGGGGCCAAAAAGGGAAAAAAAAACAAGCATTTTTCTAGTTTCAGGACAATAACTTGTGTGTAAGTGTATGGATCTTTATGAAATTGTACAACAAGGTTCCATATCACAAAGGGAAAGCTGAGTTTGAGTTTGGGGGTAATTGCCCTAAACGTTTAGGAATTTGGGGCCAAAAAGGGGCGAAAAAACAAGCATTTTTCTAGTTTCCAGACAATAACTTGTGTTCAAGTGTACGGATCTCTCTGAAATTGTACTGCAAGGCACAATACATTGTAACACAAAGGGAAGGCTGGGATTGAGTTTGGGGTGATGAATCATAAGGGGGTTCAAAAAATTTGAGGGGGGATTTTTTTTTTCCTTTTTTTTCTTTAAAATTTTCCATTTTAAATTGGTTATTTCTGATTTATATATAAAAGCAAATAATAATGATATGGTATGAATAGGTAAATTAAAATTTTTTTTAAGTTCTTAGACCACATTCATTCTGTGTCAGAAACCTATACTGTATCAAATAATTAATCACAATCCAAATTCAGTGCTGTATCAAGCTTGAATGTTGTGTCCATACTTGCCCCAACAGTTCAGGGTTCGACCTCTGCGGTCGTATTAAGCTGCGCCCAGCGGAGCATTTTATTTTTTGATATGCTGAATTTAACCGTGTATTTAGATTTTTGATTTTGGGCCCAGTTTTCAAATTGGTCCACAGAAAGGTCCAAAGCGTCCAAAAATTGAACTTAGTTGAACTCTTTCAATTCTTGGGGTTTGCTTTTATTGGTAGAACTGTTAAATTATTGTAGGCAGTTTGGGTCTTATAAATTATCATTGCTATGTAGATAGATTGGTCATTGGACATAACTTTGAAATTATTCCACACAAAGATATTATATGCCGAAGGTGGTTGCAATGGCAAAATGGCTTCAGAAAGGATTTACAAAAAAAAGTTTACAAAAAAGTAAAAAAACTTATTCGAAATCTGCTGGAAAATATATGCTTTACATCAAACCAGCAGAGACACTGTTTTGGTCTGCATTTGGCCCTTTTTTTAAGAAACAGTTTAAACAAGAGGGAGGGTATCAAAATGACAGCAATCTGGCCTTTTCTTCAATTTGTTAGAGTCATTGTTTAAGTAATCAAGGGCAATAACGCCTGAACAGGAAAGTGAAAATTGTCAAAACCTATTTTGACTTTGACTTTTTCATCAGAACAAGGGTGTGAAAATGCAATTATCAAACAAGAATAAAATGCTTCGCTGGGCGCAGCTTGATACGACCGCAGAGGTCGAACCCTGAACAGTTGGGGCAAGTATGGACACAACATTCAAGCTTGATACAGCTTTGAATTTGGATTGTGATTAAATATTTGACACAGCATAGGTTTCTGACACAGAAAGAATGTGGTCTAAGAACTTGAATTTTGTTAATTTACCTATTAAGGTCCAATGTCCAAAATCAAAATACATGGTTAGATTCAGCATATCAAAGAACCCCATATATTCAATTTTTGTTGAAATCAAACAAAGTTTAATTTTGGACCCCAACTTGGACAAACTTGAAAACTGGGCCCATAATCAAAATTCTAAACACGTTTAGATTCAGCATATCAAAGAACCCCAAGAATTCAATTTTTGTTAAAATCAAACTAAGTTTAATTTTGGACCCTTTGGACCTTAATGTAGACCAATTTAAAAAACGGGACCCAAAATAAAAAAATCTAAAAACACGGTTAGATTTGGCATATCAAAGAACCCCAATAATTAAATTTTTGATGAAATCAAACAAAGTTTAATTTTGGACCCTTTTGACCTCAATATGAACCAATTTGATAGTGGGCCCATAAATAAAAAATCTAAATACATGGTTAGATTCAGCATATCAAAGAACCCCATATATTCAATTTTTGTTGAAATCAAACAAAGTTTAATTTTGGCTCCTAATTTGGACCAACTTGAAAACTGGGCCAAAAATCTAAAATCTAAATACATGTTTAGATTCAGCATATCAAAGAACCCCATATATTCAATTTTTGTTGAAATCAAACAA